GTATAAGCCACCGTGCCTGGCCTCTCCTAAAATTCTTTTTTTCCAGTGTAGCCAGGGGAAGGCCTAGGAACTTTGACCCTTAAGCAACAATGTAGATGTATATTGCTGGTTGCCTTCTCAGCATGCATTTCCCCAAACTTGTCACCCACTGTGCAGAAACCATAGAACCTGGGTAGGTGTGAAACCCCAGCCCCTGTGGGGGCAGGGCTGATAGGCCCAATTAGGATAGTCCCAACTCCATGCCACAGTGATGGTTTTAGGGATGGACAGTAGCCCAGGCCTAAGGCAACAGTCACCTGACAGTTTACTACGCACCATGATTGGTTCAGGGATGAACTAAGTTGAGCTAATCAGAAGAAGTCTAAGACTTTGTTTAACGAGTGGGTCAAGAGAAGCTCTCTTTCCTTCTGGGAAACATGGTATATGGATGGTGATGCCTGGACTTGGTGCAACCATTTTGCTTCCAGGAAAGAAGGTATGCTAAGTAGAAAGTTGACCCATAGAGAAGAAGAAAAACTGAGAGATGTGCAGGAAAAAAAAAAAAAAAAGAGAGAGAGAGAGTTCTGATCAATTCATTCCTGAAGCTTGGACTACTTATGGATTTTTCCATAACAGAAGTATATATACTTCCCTCATTGCTGAAGCTGGTTCGAGTTGAATTTTCTATGACTTGCAACCTAAAGCATCCTAGCCACAACACCAAATGATCCCTTGGAGTCCATTTTTCCATTTCCTAAGCAGACATGAGGGAACACACAAAATGATGCAAATGAATGTGTTTTAGAACATACTGTCCTCTAGAGTTCTAATCTCAGCTTGATTTAGACAGTCAGTTGCGTGGTTAGGAAACAATTGGAGATGGAAAGGCTTAAAAAACGAGGAATAAGTCCAAAGAAGAAGTGGGAAGATAACAACAGAGGACATTAAAAAGAAAAAAAAAAAAAAAAGAAAGTAGATGAAATCATAATGTAGATGCCTCAGAGTTATCGTAAAAACCTTGTTCTCTCTCGCCTCCTCTGTCATCCCCACACTGCTAACAAGCCCTGTGATTCTATCCTCCGAATCTCCCTGAAACCCACTGCTTCTTCTTCATGTTTACTCCCATGCTTGGGTCAGGCTGTTGTGATCTGTCTCCTCCTCGCTCTTTCTACCTTCACCCTTATCCTTTCCAAATCCATTTTCTATGAGTCCCAGAGTGACCTTCTCAAATGACAGGTCTAAGCTTGTCATATTTTTACTCAAAAACGTTTGATACCTTGTCAATACGAAATATGGCAAATGCATGAGCTCTGAAGACAGATGATTTTGAAACCTCGCTCTGCCACTTACCAGCTGTGTGATTTGGGGCAAGCTTCTTAATCTCATCATCTATCTGAACTATAGTTATAATATTGTAATAGGATTCCTTTGGTTACCAGTTACAGAAAACTAACCTCTACTCACTGGGTAAAAAAAAAGGGGAAGATTTATTAACTCAACTGACCAACTGGAGAACAGTTGTGCAACAGGATCTCGGGGATAATGCAAATCAGTCACTCACACATGGCCTGTTTCCTCTCTGCCCTTTTTGATGGGGGAGTAGTGGTGGTGGTGGTGGTGGTAGTGGTGGTGGTGTTCTCTCTCTATCTTTGCTTCTCTCTGCACTTTAGCTACATTTCCTTGTATTGGCTAGTTTGTGAATGGCTGAAACATGAACGGCCTACAGCTTCCAGCCTCACATTGCCCAGTTCAGTTAGCAAAAGAGGAGAAACTCCTGCTGTGAATCCCAAATTCAAAATTCTTAAGCAAGGCTTGGTGGCTCATGCCTATAATCCCAGCTTCTTGGGTGGCTGAGGTGAGAGGACTGCTTGAACCTGGAAGGTTGATGCTATAGTAAGCCAAGACTGCATCGCTGCATTCCAGCCTGGGAGACAGAGTGAGACTCTGTCTCAAAAAAAAAAAAAAAAAAAAAAAAAAAAAAAAAAAAAAAATTCAGGAAATAGTTCTGATTTCTAATTGTGCCATCTTGAATCAGGTGTCCACCTAGGGCTCAACAGGTACCAGGGTCAGGATGTATAAGAAGATGGCAGCTTCCATTTAAACCACATGATTACAGAGATTCCATTATAAAAACATTTAGCAGAAGCAAATGGTGCTGTTCTGGATAGACAAAAACCAATAGATACTCTCTACAAAGTTTACAAGGTTGTTTGGGAGATGAAATAAGATGTCCTATATCAATGAGCACCAAATACCTGGGACCATAAGTGGATAAAGTATACAGCAGATGCTCTAGAAATTTGTGTTTATTCCCTTCATTACATCCTTGCTCCCAGAACCACTGCTTGCCTAGACAGTGCCTTCATCTTTTGCTACATAGACCAAGGTTCCCCTCTGAGTGGATACACTCCTATGGGCACAGGGTTTGACAAACAGAAGTCATATCTATGACAAGAAAGAAGTGCCCTTCTTGCAATGAACACAGCTTTGAGCTGGGGCCATGCCTTTGTAGTAAGCGTGTGGACCATATTTCTTCCTCAGTGGCCCCGTTGGTCCTGGCCTTTGGCCTTTGGACAGTGGAGACTGCCCAGCCCATGCCAGACCCTGCATTCTTCTTTATATGAATTTCAGAAGCTCATGGACTGCCTGCATTATATGGTTCCCATTAAATACAAACCAATTCCCCAGCACCACTAATCATGCACTCTGTCCACCTTACACGCCTCACCATTCCCAGAAAGTTGTGTACTGTTCCTTCTTGCTTTGATGCAGGACTCTTGGCCTTTCCCAGGCATTCTTACCTCACTCCCATTAGACTTTTAAGCCCCAGGTCAATGACATCACTTCTGCAAATCCTTGCTCAGCACACCCGGAGCTATGTACTAACTGCCTCCTCTGCACCTCCCAGAAGCCTATTCTCTATTCTCTAGCACAGCATTGCTCACACTATATAGAGTGCTTGCCTGTTTGCTAATAAGTTCCTTGAATGCTTTAGCTAGAAGTGACTGTGGCTTTCCAGCTCTTTGTCCCCTGCCCAGGAATAAAATCTGGCATCTAACAGACCTCAATAAATGCTTGTTAATTGAAATATGGAATGAATTAAGTAGGGGAGGAAGGAGGGAGTAGAGGAA